ATGAAAAAAAATATAAAAAAAAAAAAAAAAATTTAAGCTTGCTGACCTCATACTTTTGAATGATAGTGTATTTTGAAACTCAAGTGTTTGTTCATGAAGATTAAATTAAAAAAAGTAATTTCTCCCATTCAACAACCAGTTTAGTTCGCAGTTGGTCTCACACGCTTCTATTCACCAACTCACAATTCCCTTAGAAGCAGATTCATACTTACACATATTTTCCTGCAGACACTCAGTCTCACAGCTTTGAAGGAAGATGTCCTGTCACACACACGCACACGCACGCCTGTGTGCATTCCACTGCACATCTGCTTGTCTGTCACTTTTATTAGTGTATTTGTTGGCCTGTTTCTATTGAGTTGGCTCAGAGCTACAAACACACACATGCTTGCCTCAGTACACACACATTTATTCATGAATTATTTATGTTACATTTATTTATTGTACTATAAATTACCGTAACAGGTATTATAGATGTATTTGGTAATGAATGATTACCATACTTCATATTTATATAGTGCTTCAAAGAGTACCACGATAGTAGTATAAGACTTTTTTTCAAGAATATTCATATCCGTAGCTCTCCAAAGGTCGGAAAACACCATATTGCTCAATTCTGTCTCATTTTTCTCTGGGAGTTTGAGTTCCTTTCCTGAAGCTGTCAAGCCTGGACCAACAGGTCATTTCTGGAAATGCCATGCAATGCTGAAAGCTGGAATAATCCGGGGCGGAATATAGTACATGTTGTGTTATCAGGAAGGGAATGCTGAGGAAAAAGAAATGTGGGAGTCGTGTTATTTCCTGGAATACAGTGGAGCGCTGCGGATCGTGTATACATCTGGGTGGGAATATGCTGGATGTTGAGAGCTCAGGGAAGCAAGAACCCAAAACACGTTTGGCATCCAGGGCTGCGGTGCCAGGATGTTCCTCCTCTCCATTTCAAGATCCTAAAATGGGGCTGAGGAGATCCTGGACTGTGTCAGAACGTGTCAGGACATCCTTTGATGTGTAAACAACTCCAGCGGGTCACTTCTGGCCATTCTCTTGCCGCTCCCATGCAGATTTAATCTTATTCTTCAAATGCCACATCATGTTGCCTCTTTTGATAATATTACTTATGCTCGTATGCTCACCAAGGCTGCATTTTTTATTAAAAAAAATACAGTAAAAACAGTAATATGACAATATTATTATTAGGGCTGTCAATTGATTACAATTTTTTATCTAATTAATCACATCCTTTTTCTGTGATTAATCGTGATTAATCGCACACTTCATGTTAAATTAAGCATAGACCATTTATCTTGTCTCAAATGTTTATTTTGTCTTCATTTGCTATATCCAGCAAAGTAAACCAAAAGATTGAAGGGTGATTCTCAAAAATCTGTATTTTCTGCAAGCTTTTTTCAAGATAAATTTAGATGTCTTTCCAAAAAAGGACACTTAGAAACTCCAAAAGGACACCAAAGAACCAAATGATATAAGGAGCCCATATAAGCACATATGAAAGAAAAAGAAATCTAATTTTATAGTATGTACAGTGCAACAGCAAAGAGCTTTTTTACATTTTAGAGAAGTCAAGTTGCGATACCGAACATGACCACATGGAGATGGCAAAAAAAGCCTAAACCAACCGCCTGCTGACTGCATATATCTACTACAGTACATCCGTTCAGTCTGTACTTCACACAGCGCGTGTGACATGTGAGGGCTCGCGCTATTCAGAGACAATCACAGAATATGACAGAGCTCGTGTTTTAAAGCGAAACACTGGAATGAATAATTCACTGAAAACACAACGCGAATCTCTGTTCTCTCTGCAATCTCTGATGTAATCAGCCTGGTTTCCTTTATATTAGCGCTGTTTTGGACGGATTATTTGAATGCATTCGCTTACTGGATCATTGGACTGAAAACTTTCCCGGAGTTTAGCGGCTTAAAATGATCTGATCGCAAGCAGAGAAGCAAAATTGGGTTAAAGGGTTAGAATAGAAATTGTGCTTCAGTAATTTTGCGTTAATTGCATTAAATTATTTTAACGCGTTAAGGATTGTAAAATTAATCGCATGCGTTAACGCGTTAACGATGACAGCCCTAATTATTATATTAGAAATATATTTAAAATAAATGTTGTATATAATGTTAATACTATGTGTATAATGAAGAAGTCTAATAAGAAGTCTCTCATGCTCACCAATGCCGCATTATTTTAATTAATAACACAGTGATAAAAACTGAATATTGTGAAATATTATTACAATGTAAACAGTTTTCTATTGAAAATAACCCTTAATACTTTAAAACCTGATTTATTCCAGTGATGCAAAGCATCATTACTCCAGTCTTCAGTGTCACATAATCCTTCAGAAATCATTCTAATATGCTGATTTGCTGCTCTAGAAACATTTCTGATTATTAGGCCTCTTTTGATTCTCATTTCTTATTCTGTTTCTCCGTTTCTTCCTCTTGCATAACACACCAGCTCAGAGGTACATATTGTTCTTCACCGGTTGAAGTCATTCATGAGTCATTTTCGCCGCTGCTGATTGGTCTGCTGTAGAAAGCCTTTTTGTTCGGTGACTTTTGTGTCAGAAAAACGTCACAATTCACAGGAATACAATAGTAAGTGTGCTTTGGGGCATCAAAAGGGCATGAGTCACAATTTCTGAAGCACTAGATCTTGTGAGTGCTGGAAACACAGCTATTTTTGGGAGTCTTTGTTGGAAATAAGTGCGAAAAAGTTGGGAAATACTGAAAACTCAATGGCTGAAGTGCTCTTTTAACTCCTCGGATGAGAAATCTGTCAAGCGCTCTGGTTTTACCTGGGCAGCGAGCCAGCATGATCCCAGATATGCACCGACATACTTGCACACGGCGGCTTTGTGATTTTCCTGTCTACTCTGTGTGAGGGTGAGGCAGTCCGTCCCATTGAGTCACTGCTTCCATGCAAATATTCTTAAAGCAGCATGCAAAAGTTATGGAAATCAGGCCGACTTTATATCACTGCGGAATGTGCTGTAAGGGAAACGCTGCTGGAGCATGTGCTGGCGCTGATACACACATCTCTCCCTCTCTCTCCATTCTGTATATTCACCTGCTTTCTTCTACTTTCTCCACCAATGGAAATGACTTGGCCTTTAAGCAGCATGAATTATTCAATCAAAATAATGTAGGGTGACCGGGGCTAGTCGTCACATGGGGAAGATATCACAATCTCAGTAACTATAATGGTATTTTGATAAATGTATTAATATTTTTTGCATTGTGGGACATTATTTTTATGATCATTTACAATGTGAACCCCAAATTTCTATTCTATTATTTATTCTATTATATGTGTATCTGTAGTACATCATTATGCTTTGCATTGATGACACAAAAGCATAAATACAAATAAAATGTAGTGAGAATTACATTAAATCGCAAGACACTTATATAAAAAAGTATACAAAACTAAAAAATAAAATGTTTTTTAGTTTTGTAGAAATACATAAATAAATAAAAATTTTTATAAAATAAAAATAATGTCACAATGCAAATAATGACAAGAAAGTGACAGTAAAGACATTTATAATATTACAAAAATTCTATTTCAGATAAATGCTGTTTTTTTTAAAGAATCATGAATAAAAGTATCACGATTTCCACAAAATATGTGTCAGCTCAACTGTTTTCAGTATTGATAATAATCAGAAATGTTTCTTGAGCAGCAAATAAGTATATCAGAATGATTTCTGGAGGATCATGTGACACTGAAGACTGGAGTAATGATGCTGAAAATTCAGCTTTGCATCACAGCAATAAATTAAATTTAAAATATATTTAAACCGAAAACAGTTATTTTAAATTGTAATAATATTTCACAATGTTTTTACTGTATTTTCGAATTATTATTTTTGAATGGCAGTGTAGTTTCATATTTTTGATTCTCCTATTTCTGAAGGTCTTACCTCATGTTAATCACTTGTAAATCATTCTAATAATAAATGTCCTTGTGTCTCTGTCCATCCAGAAGACTCTGTGTCGTCTCCCACGGGCCCCGCCCCCATGGACCTGCGTGTAGGTGAGCGTCTGGTGCGTCCGGGTTCGGACACGGCCTTCCTGTCCCCTCTGCACCCCCCTCTGCTGATCGGCCCCTTCAATCCACAGCACTGTTCCCAGTACAGCCACCAGCAGCTGCAGCGCATACAGGTACATGTGACACACATCATTCTGAAATATCACACTGATCTCATTAGGGCTGGACGATATGGCCAAAATTGATATCACGATATAGAGTGATAGAACTAGCGGTTTCTCCAGTAATGGCTGTAATCAAAGCAGCTCCGCTCACGAACGCTACTTTATCAGATCAAATGAAAATGCCATCGAAACTTTTCTGAAGACAGTCGGTTCCCTTCAGAGATACATTCATATAAAACACCCGCGCCGTGTTATGATTTTGAAACGTGCAGTGCTCATGTTTATTCAGCGAAGTCAAACGGCACAAATAAATCAATGTATGGGAAACTGGTAATGTATATCAAAATATCATAAATGTGTTTAAAAATCATATCACCGTTATTGAAAAAGATTATATCGCGATACATATTGATATTGAATTATTGTCCAGCCCTAGATCTCATACCTGTCATACCACTGCAATACAAAATGACGATCAGTCTGTGCAAGGAACTGAACATTATTTACAACATTAATACCTGTAATCCAGAGCCTCCTGCAAACGGGGAAGTCCGATTCTTTTCTGCTAACTGGTTACACCTGTATACAGTGGTGCATTAAATGTATCAAAAGCGACAGTAAAGACATTTATAATGTTACAAAAAAATGCAGTTTCATATAAATGCATGTCAAAAAAATTCTTAACGACCCCAAACTTTTGAACAGTAGTGTATGCAAGTACTGTCGAAGATGTTTATGTCTTTTTTATATGCATATGACAGTTAAAACAGAATGCAATGCTTTGTAAATGATGTCAATGATGTCTTGCACCTTTTCAGAAAACAGAAAATGATGAATGTCTATATAAATCATACCTGACATTATTTGTATGTAAATAGACATTTCATGAACAAATAGATTAACTACCCAAATTTGTTGCATGAGACCCAATATGCGTGTGTATTTACTTAATGCACTTAATGTACATGATAAGCCGATTATGACTGACGACTCCTCTTTTTGTAGCCTTATAATATGGAGCAGCATCTACGAGACCAGGAACTAGCGAAACTACAGCTACAGCAACTTAAAAACAAGGACAAGAGTCAACAGAGTGAGTGACACAATAACCCTTAAATAACTGCTGTTCAGAGACTTACTATGTACTTACTTAACAAATATGGAGTGAATGTCTAAAAGAATGTCAACGCCTAGTCACCAAACATATTATGCTAGATTAGTGTTACTTTGATTAGCGTGACAGAAATGGGATTCTGGTTTTCCCATTTTTTTTTTTTTGCCATTTCATGAATGAGATAACTTTCAAATGAAGCACTTGGATGATTGATCACTCAAATGTCACTAATATGCAACTTTAGCCCCAAGAAAGAGATTTGTCATTTTAGTTTGTCACACTTTTTCAACTAAGAAGAGTACAACCGGTGTAGTGCACAAGTAGGTTGTGTTGTGGAGGTTGAGAAAATGAAATGTGCTAAAGCGACTGAGATAAAGGGTTTTAAATTGTGCCAGTGCCCTCTTTAATAGTAGTTCAACTGAAACAGGGCCACGGCTGCCTCAGGAAATACAGTATCTCACAGAAGTGAGTACACCCCTCACATTTTTACAAATATTTTATTATATCTTTTCATGTGACAACACTGAAGAAATGACACTTTGCTACAATGTAAAGTAGTGAGTGTACAGCTTGTATAACAGTGTAAATTTGCTGTCCCCTCAAAATAACTCAACACACAGCCATTAATGTCTAAACCGCTTTTTGAGGGGACAGCAAATTTACAGTGTTATACAAGCTGTACACTCACTACTTTACATTGTAGCAAAGTGTCATTTCTTCAGTGTTGTCACATGAAAAGATATAATAAAATATTTACAAAAATGTGAGGGGTGTACTCACTTCTGTGAGATACTGTAGCTCTGAGAGTAAAAACAAAACTTTGTGGTTGAAAACATATGGGAGGAGTCTACACTGAACATGGGAACCCTGTTGTTCTATAAATGGTATTTACTGTCTCACAGACGCTAGTGGCCTGCCAGTTACAGCAATTACAGATCGTGCCATACTTTTTGTAGACATGCGTGAATGGATGGATGGTAATACCATAGTACTTTGATGTAGCTCATGGCACTGAATAACAGTTATCTACATGTATTCACCTGTTACTCCAAGTTACTTAAAGATTACCATGAAATCTCTATGATATATAACAAAAAAAAAACCCTTGGTGCCATGTCCAAAACATAGATAGATAGATAGATAGATAGATGGATAGATAGATAGATAGATAGATAGATAGATACTTTTACAATTAATTAATTTTACAATTACCAGACAATCATATAGGCCTATCTAAAAATATGAATTGACGGTTTTTACCGGACCAGGGTATCTGCAGGATATTTAAGCTCATATTTAAGACTTTTTAAGACCTGCACAAATAAAATAAAAATGACTGTAAAAAGCATGATTTAGAGTTCAGATACAGGTTTTCACAAAAACAAAATCTCATACAACAGCATTTCAGCCTTTAGACCATTTTTATGAAAAGTCAAGCATATAAATTGTCAATTTAAAACGTATGAATATTACTGTATTAATTGTTTAGATTTTTAGAAGGCACATTAACTTCTTTCTCATTTACAACTCCATGTGTTTGCTGCTAAATTGATTTGACCATAACCAGCAAGAAAGGCTTATTGGAAATGCAAATTCATTCTCTGCCACGAGGTGGTGCTTTAGGAGCGCTGAAATATTGCAGTTTCCTCGGTAACGGCTGTACACAAAGCAGCTCCGCGCTCATAAACGCTGCTTTATCAGGAATTATAGGTCAAAT